GAGTAATTCTCAATAAAAAACAAGTTTCTGTTGATTGAGAGAGAGATCAGCATGTTGTCAACAGTATGAGACAAATTGAGATTCTTAGTACTTAATCACCACATCACTAAAGCATCAAAGGAAACACCATCTAGTCCTATAGACCGAACCGAACAATAACGTAAAGCAGGTTTAAATAGATCAAGATAAGACATCAACCACATGACCAGATGAAACCAAGACACATCATAATGATCAAATTTCTTATCCGAATTATGAGAATAAAAGACTATCATTCACATCAAATTGTAGGTAGACAGGTGACTTCGACACAAATATTATTCTTTGGTACATGTTTTTCTTTTCAAATAACGTATTTCCCATGCCCCCCTAACATTACAATGCTAGAAAAATCTTCATCAGAAAGGGATCACATTTAGAATGGAGATTTAAAAAAGGAACAAAAATTCACAAAATTCTAACCTTCTAGTAATACCCCCGAAGGCTGTCCAAATAGCAGAAATCAAGCAGTGCATCACTGCTCACCATATCAAGGCAACAGAACTAAAGAGAAAAATGGCCACACATATTTCAGCCATTAGTATATTGAGAAATCCGAGAAGCCATGTTAGCAACTTGAGCTTGTAACTGAGAAGCCCTGACTTTGGCAGCGGTAGCACGGTGGAAAAACTGCTCCCTTGACAACAACCTCACGTTCCTCAAGTACTGATCAAATTGTACAGCTCCATCCTGCACTGCCTTATCCAATGAATATATAGCATCTTCTATTGCCAAATCCGAAGCAGTACACTCGAGCATTTGCTTTGAAAGCACATCAACACATTCAAATGCGTCATCCGCTTCAAAATCACTGCGATTCCTTCCCTCGTTCTCCCTCACCCAAGCTTCCAAAACATCGCTATTCATCAGAACCATCTGCAGTTGCTGCTCTAAACTCTCCTTCTCATCTTGCATCTCTTTCAAACCTTTATTTAGCTCCTCCTCCCTCTGTCTCAACACTCCCTGTGCACTGAAAAGTCCTTCCACCTCGGCCTCCCTAGTCTTTCTCAACCCGACAATATCACTATGCACGATCTCTACAAGCTTATTAATCGCATTTCGCTTGAAAACTTCATTGGGATCTTCCGTATGTGGCTGTAGACGCGCAACAGAAGCAACATCATTTGCACTACCACCGTATGGCGACGGTGGGTAAACCCTCGGCGGAATTGCTGGGCGTGGGAAAGCGGCAGCCCCCATATTAGAAGCAATCGAAGAATTAGCACTATTACGCCCAAAACTAGAGCTAGGACCCGGAGAAGGACCAGGGCTAGGGCTAGGGCCAGGATTGGGCCTCCGTTGGGAATAAAGTGGAGGGTCGCGACCAAACATAACGCTCAAATTACGAACCAATTCAACCAAATTAGAGCTGGGATAAATCCAATTTTGCAAATAAGGGATCGAGACCATACCGGAGGGATTGACATGAGGATGGGGGCGCTTGATGATCATATCCCGAGTTGGGTTCACGTAAACACAAGGAGGGTGGCGAGGGTAAGACTCCATGAGCCAAACGACGACGGGAATGTTATAGGTGACGCCTTGGAAGGACATGGGGACGGTGCCGTCGGATTGCAGAAGGTTGACGGAGCGGCCATCGTTGTGGGTGAAAGTTGCAGTACGAGGAACCAAGGAGGGGTAGGCGGCCGTGAGGGCGACCAAGTGCTGGCGGATCAGCCACTTGGTTTCTTCGGAGTAGGGGAGGGCGGAGGGGCCGCGCTGGGACAGGACGGAGCTCAGGAACTGCTGGATTATCTGTGGATTCGGCGGCGACGGATCCGGCGACGGCACCATAGCATATAGATTGGCGATTCGAAATCAGGAAACCGATGATCCTTCTTCGATTGGATTGAAGGATCCGAATTTGGGAATTGGGAATTGGGAATTTGGGAATTTTCTTTCGCTCACAATGGAAAATGAAATGCGTAGGCAGAGAGCTCCGGAAGATCGAGATGGCGCGTGCCTTAGCGTCGAAGAAAAATAAAATAAAATAAAATGGTGGACTTTGTTAAAACTAGGGTTAAAATCATATCTCCAAAATTTGGTTTGGTTTGATGATTTGAAAATATAAAATTGAAATAAAATATTTTTTTATTTGAAAATTGAATATTAATTTTAAATTTATTACATATTTAATAATATATTGTAAAGTAAGCTAGTTAACCTATTTAGTTTAATCTAAAATAATATTATTTAATTTATTAATATTTTTGTTATAAATCTCATAAAGTTATTATTTTACAGTATTACAACATTTATAATATATTATATTTTACCTGTTTTAATTTTAACAAAAACGAAATGAATTTATATCATACATAATATATTTATCAAACTTTTAACTGTTAAAAAGAAATCTGAAAATATTGAAAATTAGTTTCAAAATTTCATATTTGAAATCCATTTTTTAAAACAAATCCATATTTATGATCCATTTGATTGAGTAGCCTTAGGTTTAGTGTCTATATTTTAAAAATATTATAATAAATTTTTGAACTTTTAAAATTCTGTCCAATAATTCTCTTGGTTTTTTTAACAGTTCAACTATTATACTTTTAATTTTATGTTTTTGAAAATGATGTTTGTTTGCTTTATTTTTTTTATATGTTTTTATTTTGCTTAAAAATACGTATGAATTCTTAGAGAATTTTCTAAAACAATTTTTTTTTTAATTTGATTTAGATTTTGAAAACGTTTTTAAAAAGTGATAGCAAAGCAAAGATATGAGTAAAGACAGTATTTATAATTTTAATTTTAAGAAACAAAAATTTAAAATAATAAAAAAAATTTACCAAAATGGTAACCCTTTAAAAGTAATCAATCCAAAGGGACGTTTTTCAAGTATAGAGACAAAAATAAAAAAAAATTGAACCAAAATGAATAAAAGTTGAAATTAGAGAAACCAAAATAGTATGTAAACCTAATATTTATTTAAAGATCTAGATTTGAAACATGTAGATGTTATTATCGAGTACAGATTATTTTCGCCAACTTGAATATGCATCATACATTTGCCTTAAAAGATGCAAAATCTTTCACAAATACTTTGGATATACTTTTTTTATGTGTCTTATAATCTATGTCAGTCTCATTAGAAAATAATAGGGCTTAGCTAGACTAAGCGAGATTGCCATGTCTAAGACCATTAACATTAATTCCCCAGTTGCCAAGAAATGGCCGGGCATGTCTTTATCAACTAAATCAAGCCTCTGCCCCCACATTTGTTGAGTTATTTTTTTCACAACTAATTTTATCGTTGGAATTCCAATCACCACCTCACATCAATGTAAGCCAAGTTTTTCAAATAACTCTTATTTTCTCATTGAAAATGGCTATACACGAGAGTAGATTTTAAGTTGATGAAAACTCAGTTCTATCTTTTTTTTTTCAAATTATAAAAGAGTAGGACGAGGAATCAAACCATCGACTTTAAGAATGGTAATACATGTCTTATCTACTGAAGTATGTTCGGATTGGCAACTAAATTCTACTCGATAACTATATTTACAATGAGTTTATCATTTTTATCAATAACGTCACGTTTCTATGGCATCATTTCATTTCTCTACTTTCTTTCTACACTTAATGAAATATCAAAATCAAAGGACAATAATTCTCTATAACTTATATCTTTATTAGCATATTAACTACAATCAGTCTGCTTTTCAATCCAAGAGCATCAAAAAAATCTATTGTTTGATGCTCTTTATAATGTAATAGACACCATAGAATTTTGACACCTCCACTTTTTTGCGTTATAATCATAATCTATCGTTTATCATAAAGACAATTTCACGAAACAACGATAATTTTAAACTATAAAACTTTAGTCAAAAAATATTTTTTGTCCATGTAATTTCTTTGGAGTAACAATTCAATCCGTAAACTTTAGTTTGTAACGATTTAATTATTATAGCAACAATGTAATCCATAAACTTTATTATATAACAATTTAGTTCTATTAATTTAAAATTTGTAAGAGGTTAGTCTCTACTATTTAAAATGTTATCAAAATTAAGTATTGATTTTTATAATGTAACGATACAATTTTGGTCCCTCATTATTGATCTACATATAACCCCGTTAAATCTTAACAATATTTTTCACATTAGCGACTAAATCATAACAAAATTATTACATACTAAAATTCAAGAACCAAATAGTATAATTACAAACTTGAAAAAACAAAGACTTGATTGTTATAAACTAAAATTCAGAAGCTAAATCATCGAAGATATATCCAAACGTTCCAAAACGACGTCGATGTAAAAGAAAAAAAAAAGGCAAACTTGTTTTAAAACTAAATAATAATCGTATGTGGTTATATATTTGAAATGAGAAGACTAGGCCGGTGGTAAAGATAATATTCAGAGGCGCAGGCAAAAGATAATGAAATTATTAGCCACACTAGTTGATGCACCTTCATTGGCAAACTACAACACAGCAGCAGGAAAAGGCCATAAAGTAACACAATCAGGCACACATGTTTTACACTTAATTCCCCATTATACCCCCCCAAAACTAAGGAAATGGAGAAGTAACAAGTTGCCTGGGCGCACTGAATAGGTCATTTCCTGCAAAAGGAGAGGTCCAATCCCGCAAACCACCTGAAGATGACATATCTTTAACGCCTCCCCCACCCCCCTGCATCCCAAGTTCACACAGCCTCATCCCGGAACCATTCCTCAATGACGAAGAAAGACCCGGAGACAACTCGCTCGATCGGGTTGCTGACGGGCTATGCAGAGTCCAATCTATTCTGTTGTAATCGCAATACGGCATCAACCCGCCGATGTTCCAGTCCATCTGTGACAACAACCCAGATGTTTGTGCTGTGCCCTGGCTGTGGCTGTGGCTGTGGAGGGTGGAATTTGATCCATAAGAAGATGGGACTGCGAATGAAGATACATTTCCCCCACCAGTTTTCCACAAACTCTGCGGTTCGGAAGGGAATGCGTGCGATGAAGACGCGTTCTCTTTCGTCCACGGTATATCGAGCCCTGCTGATGATAGCATTTCAACTGGACCAGCCATGAATTGTGGTTGATTATGGACAGCCGTCTGCTGATGGTAGATCTGCTCTAACCTTCTGTTTTCTGCACCGAGGCTCGCCCTGCTATGATTGTGCAGCAATTTGTCACTTGAAATGATGTTTTTAATGGCTGGAGCATTGTTTGAATACCATGAAGTAGTTCCAGGAAGCATGGGGCTGGAGAAAGAGTTCTGCAATCCATTTATGGATTGGGGCTGCTGCATAAAAACTACTGGCTCTACTGGCTGCTCCTGTATCTCTCGCCGCAGACTGATTGCTTCGTTTTTCAAAACACCAATTTGAGCCCCTGCCTTTACATATGGATGATGAACTACTGGCAACGGTGGCGTTGAAGTCGACGAAGAAAGGCCTGATCCTACAGCAGGCCATCTCTTCTCCCCTCCCCTCAGCAGCCTTGGTTGATCTGTCGTCTTCAAAGACTGCTGTACGCTTCTGTTGCCAGCTTCTAACCATGCTGGCACTGTCATAGCAGCACTATTACGGCTAAATTCTCGTTCATTTTTGCTCGACTGCATTGTAAGGACGGAAGCAGACCCAGACATTTCTTGAGCTCTTGGTATACTCTTTGTTTCAACTACTTCATGATTCGACTGATTGACAGGTTCCTTCTGCTTTTGTTCTCTTAGAATACCTTCCGCCTTATCAAGATCACCTCCACAAGCAACTACAGCTCTTTCTACCTCTTTCTTTGAGCATTTGTACCGTGCTTCAAGAGCCGAGATATGAGCAAGCTCATTGCCAATATCAATCTTCAAGTTGCCCCCACTTGTAATACTAGCAGCATCCTTGTTCCGAGCTTCTTCCTCATTTCCTTCAAAGAGCCAGGAGACTGATTCCTCTAGCTTGCCCTCGTTTAACATTAGTGCCATGGTAGCTCTTTCAGAAGAGAACCCCATGGCGACCAGTTGCTGAGAAAGAGCTTCAAGCTTTCTAGACATTAGATAACCTTTGCATCGCTCGTGCAACTCCTGAGCCCGTTTCTCTTTCTGTCTCTGGTGTTTCTTCTCATTCTTTAGACGAATCTTCTCCCGCTTGTCATGGTCACATCCAGGTGTTCTCTCCTGCTGGGTCGAAGAATCGGCTGCCTTCTCTTTTGGATCCTCTGACTCACCCGAGCAGCTACCGTTGTTGGAAGACAGATCAAAATCAGATACTGTACCACGTGGACTGCTAGAGTGGTCATCTGTATCTTCCATATTCTGGAAGTGACCGTTGTCAGAGTGCAGTGAAGAAGCAGCTAGTGATGATGATATTTCAACTGTATGAACCACTTCATCAACTGGATTGTGAGCGGTCGTAGCCGGACTCCTGTTTGTATTTTTAGAAGCAGAGTTTTTTGAAGCCTTCGGCTGTTTCTTCGCAGCTGCCCTAGCAGAGGGCTTATCCTTGGAGGCGGACTTGGATTTTGACACCGGCATCTTCCAAGATTATGTAACTGTTGATAAAAGAAAGTCGGAATCAATCATTCAGCCAACGATAATGTAAAAATACCAAAAAGAAACAAGTTACAACATACATTAAATCTTTGCCATGTATACGATAACATTTGCAAATCGGTTGTATAAAAAAGACAAATAAAGACCATTCTCATATCATTTTCAAATTGATTGAATAAGAAGAATCACAAATATTTCAATACAGCAAGGAAACCAATCATATCACAACTGAAGTAATGATATTAGAGCATGTCACTGTATATGAGAAATAAAATCATCACTTACTTCAGATATAGTACTTTGGATACATATAACACAAAATTAATAACAACGGCGCAATAGCATTACAAGAAAAGTAATGATAGAAGACTGGCATCTTTCTTTCGATCTAAAACCATTTCCCTCTTTTTTCACTGTGAAAGATTTCGTGAAAACGCAATCAAGAACTTTCAGCATTTTTCGAAAAAGAGGAAATGAGACAAAAAAAAACATTTGAATAGGGAGAGAGACTCACAAACTATTATGAACTCATGGAGCAAAACTCAGAAAAAGAAATTTCAATGAAGACAAAAAGAGGATGAACTCCAAAACTTATAACTGTTGCATTAAATGTAACAAAACTCGATGAGTTGCAAATTCTACATATAAGAGAACAAATGGTTATTTACGAATCCTGCATGTTATTGATTTAATGAAATCCTCGTTTCCTCTCAAAAAATAAAAGGCATCCATCTAAGAAACTCAAATATTTTCTTTACATCCAACATCTAGGAAATTTTTTAAAGTTTTTCTTTCTAAAGAGAAGTGGAATATCAAATGGGCACCCACTTCTTAAAATTGGAGTCATACCAAATTATCATTTTCCCAAACATTTAACGAATCATTAATTGATCTGCGATGTTAGAATGTTGAAATTGTACTCTGACAACCAATATAACATCAAATTATAATATGTTTTATGTAGGAACAAGTAGCAAAAAAATTGAAAGCGCTTATGGATTTGCCACGAAAAACCAACTTCAAATTCAAAACATTGAAAAGAAGAATGCAGAAACCAGAAATGAAGAGGAAAAAAGCCCGAATCAAGAAGAAGAAGAAAACAAAATGCATGAAATTCGCGCGAAAACATAAAAGCGGAGAAACTGAGGGTCTCATTTCAAACGCAGGCCCGAATTTACTTGAAACAACAAGAATCAAGATGGAATCAAAATCATTTCCCACCAAAACAGAACCCCTCACGATAGATCCAGAAATCAAAAACAATTATCCAAAACCTCAAACATTCAAACCTAACAAAGAAATAAAAAACAACCCAAACCCAACTAAGAGATCTCTCGAAATCTTCAAACAAACAAAAGGAAACCCCATAAATTGCTCAGATTCAACAACATCCGGAGAAGATCGGCAAGAAAAAACGTCAAAAAACAGCATCAGGATCACAGGAAAAACGCAGGATTGAAAGAGAGATCAAACAACAGATCTGAAAACTGACCGGTGGAGAGAAATCCGAGGAGGAAGAGGGAGGAGGAGGAGGATGAGAGATCGAAAAATGATGATGACGACAACCGCGATGAGGTCGCCTTCGTTGTCCTTTCTCTCTGTTTTTAAGCCTCTCGCCCTTTCTTTGTCCCTTTCTGTTTTGTTTCCTCTCGTTTACTGTTTTCACGTTCTCTGTCTCTCTCTCTTCTTCTTCTTTTTTTTTTCTTCTCTCTCTTCTTTTTTTATTTTCTTATTTTTTCTTTGAATTATAAATAAATAAATAATTAAATAACAGAATTCTTTGGGTCAGTTTCGTACACGTGTGAGACCGAAGGTGGCGTCTGGATTTAAATGTCGGTTTGACATTTTTTTATTTTTAAATTAATTAAAATTAATTTTGGGTGAATTGTTTAACTTTTTTGGAGAGATTCATTTCTTTTTTTTATATGTTTTTTTCCTAAAATTTTGGGAGATTTTACCCATGCTCTTGTATGTTGTTTCCTTAAAAGCCTATGATATGATACATAAAAATCATTTCTTATAAATTTACTATGGGAGTAAAATTTATTGTAAGTATTTTCACTGAATCTTAATCCATATCCTTTAAAATTAATAATAACTTAGTCTTCAAATTTATGTAATAATTTCGTTTATATAACCTAAATAACAATTTAGTCCATACCATATTAAACATTATTTGTTTTAATATATATATATATATATAATCTATTAAATCTTTACAATATTTTAAGGTAGGGACAAAATGAGTTTTAAACAACTAAATTATTACCAATTTAAAAATATGACTAAATTGTTACCGACAAAAAATTAATTACTAAATTGTTAACCATTAAATCTAAAATAATTATATTAATAAAAGTAGTATTTTCCACTAATAATTGAACATAAAAGGGATTTAGTTTTACATGTCTTGGCTAGTAGGAAGTTGGTTGATTCCATGCATGAATTTTTTTTTTTTAATTCCTTTTGAAATTTTTGACTCAATCCTTGTATTTAAGAAATTATAAAGGCTAAATTATAACAAACAAAAGTTGGATGAAAATATTTAAGATATAAAATTTAGAGCCTTAACTATGATAGCTCTTATGATTAAAGAGCACGATTTATAACAAATTACTTCATCAACTCATAGAATTGTTAAAATTAAAAGATTGAAAGTATAATTGTAATCCATGATCAAAATATCCATATTCATAAAAGCTTAAATCAGATAAAATACCAGTACCAATAATTATTTATGAAAAATTATAAAAATAGAGCTAGTCGGGCCTTAATTCAGACTAGACTCTATACTTATCGTAACAAATATTAAAATTAACAACTAAACAATTTAAGTTTTTATTTTCAATATTTACTTAATATTTTATAGATATAATGTAATAGTAATGTGTCAATAAAAATACAGACTTATAGCTAAATATTTTATATATAAAAAAAAAAGTTATGTAAAGTTTGAGACAACTGACAACCTTTGAAAAAAAGTTAAGGGCAGTTATTGCATTAAAAAAAAGAATAAATCAGAATTAAAAATATAAAAATAAAGTAAAATAAAAGTTCTGGAATCTTCCGAATTCGACGGCTGTTTTAGAGGCTACGGGTTAGGGTTTAAGAATCACAGCCGACCAATCTTCCCCTTTAATCCGCCTTCGGATTTCCCCATGCAATAGCCCACCTATATTTAATATATATTTAAAATTTTAATTAAATATTTCAATTATATGAAAATATTAAATTAAATAACGTTTTAATTTTACTAGTTTAAATTAAAAAATCATTAATTATTTGAACTTTTTTAAAAAACTGCAAGTTGAACTTTCAGTCTTTTAAGTAATGGGCACATGTCACACCACTTAAATTATATGTAATTGGCGTTTTAAAGTGAGGTGTGGACAATTTACATAATAATTAGGAAACTATCATTTTTTAACTCAGAGCTAGATATGTCATTTTTTGTTGCAATCTCCACACTAGTGTTGCAGTTATTAACATTGTTGAAAAATTATCAAAAAAAGTATGGATGTAATGCCAAAAGAATTATAAGATTTCAACAAATGTAGTAAAGTTAGACGATTGATCCATGATAAGTCAAAATACACAAACTAATCCAGATACATGAATATCAAAAAGATAAAAATAATAAATGAATTATAAAAGATAAAAATAATAAATGAATTATAAAATAATACGAAAGTTGATGAGATTTAAACAAAAATAATATTTATAAATGTTGTTCATGGATGAAAATTTAATTTTGAACAAGTTTGATTTCACTAAATTAGTGAGTTTTAGAGTTTTTTATATTATTTTTTGCAAAAATTAGTGAGTGAGCTAATAGAAATTAAATTGATGATGAAAATTGTCGTTTAGAGTTCAGCACAACACTTTTTTACTCCAATAATTAATATTAAAAAAACAAATGAAGCTTTTGATGAACTCATCCCAATTGATTAAAAAATATTGAGAATAGACCAATTCATTTATAAAAAATACCGACACCTTCATCACACTAAAATGTGTACTAATTTTTTCTACACTTGCTATACCAATTTCTATTTTATTTGTTGATTTTTTAGACAAAAAAAGGAAAAAAAAAAACTTTAAAACTTGGTCACAAGGTTGAAGTCAGATTCCGTTACAAGTTATTGCCACCACACAAGAAAATATATAGTTAACGAATATAAATTTAATATTATCTCTCCAACGTGCGCTCATGATTTAACAACTTAAGTAGCATTTACACTATTGTACAAAGTTAATTTTGCCTTTAGAAACCCTATTTAATGGGTCAAATCAACGTCTGGCTGCTTGAGTTACAAGACACATGATTGAGCTCCCCGACTTTAAACTTTGAATTTCATCGAATCGAACTGAACCCTAAAGTAAAGAGTAGTAAAATTAATTATTCATCGCAAGCACAGTAGAAAATTACCTAGGAACCAATCAATATAAATCACACAAAATTTTCAACCAACGAGAAACTCAACAAGTCACGATATTATCCAAACTCAACTCCAAAATTGAATAGGCAAAAAACCTACTACCAATAAAAATAGCAGTCTAACCATAAATATGCTTATGCCTCACAAAGCTTAAAATAAATTAAAACTCAATCAAGTGAGCGTGATAACTTTCCTGTTTAGATAAGTTCGAGATTCAACTAGATGAAATTAAAGAATAAAGTTGACTCGTTCAACAATTTATTGGAGTAAACAACAAACTTTGGAAAAGTTGACTCATTCACAAGAAGGTTTTTTGTAATTACAGTTTGTTCTTTATCATGCAATACTGGAAAGTTGTAATTAGATAGTTTTGAAGAGAGGATTCTCTCTACCCTTTGCCTTTAGGTTGTCTTCCCCCATTTTCGAGTTTCTTGATTGATAATACACATCTTTGTTTCTTATAAAAAAAAAAAACTTTGAAAAAATACACACAAATCAGTAGAAGCTCCTACTAACTTTCCAATGTGGCATACATATAAATTTAGTTAAATCAATTTATGTATTGAACAAATACACTCATAAAAATAGTCTTACACTTGGGTAAAAAAGATCTACAACTGTTCTATTTCTCATTCATCATGAAGGAAAAAGCATCACACATGCATAATATGCTACAAAGCCGTTCAACAACCAAACCATTTTTGCATGTTTTTATTCTCTCTTTTTTATTTTTTATTTTTTTTGTTCTAAAAAGAGCTCCATAAAAAAGAAAAAAAAGGGTTTACTGTACAAAGGAAGAACTTTCAAAGTCACGTTTCTTCCATTTTTCCAAAGCAAACTAAAAGAAAATTGTGTACCAACTTACATACAAGTATATCATTTTTAAGTAGTTGTTAAGACAAACTGAAGAGTATCATACAGGAACAATTTTCCACAAGATATAGATGAAGATACTAACAAAATTTGCATGCATAAATGGCAGTAAAACGTTGAGCAGTGAGATTTATCATTTAGAATTAAATGAAGAGAAAACAAGTGCATTAGTTTTTACCTTGATTTTCACTCTCACAAGAGTTACAAACTTCTGTAATACATCTGAAGTGAAGTAGCTCAAAGCATGGAGAAGGAACAAAATTGGCTATCGGTGGCATGATTCAGTCAATGAGGACTGCTGCTTCCTGTTGACACATAAATCAGTTGCAGGCTATGCCAATAAATTAAATTAACACACTACTTTTTTTTTTTTCTACTAACGCATCCAGCAAAAGAGAATAAACAGAAAATTCTATAAAAAGACCAGACAAATTTGGACAAATAACAGGTGGATGGCAAACTGTTCATCAGATACAAGACATGAAAATATTTCTGTTCTCTTAATTATCAACGATGGTTCCTGCTTTGCATCACAGAAAAAAATCAGACAGAAAAAGAACAAACAAAACGTACTATTGGTTTCAAATTAAGTAAATGTTACTTCTCAAAAAAAAAAAAGGTAAATGTTACTTGTAGAACAGTAAAATGCTCTATTGAAAAGTCCAAAATCGGCAGACGGTTATAATTTCACATGAAACTTATTTCATATAAATAACATATTTATATGTTGCAGTCCAACGGAGTAAAAAATATATATAAATTATGTTCTTGTGCTACCGAATCCCCTTTTCAAGAGAATTAGGCAATATTTGACTGCTCTAGTTGTTTAAATGAAATCAACTGCATGGTGATTCATACATATCGGTAAACATCGTTTGAATATTACTTTTTTGTTTCCCCAAAGAGAGGAATCGATCTATCATGTTTATTGAAGATTACGATAATGATTGCCAATAGTCTACGGAAGCTAAAACACTAATTACAAGTACAGATGCAACAAAATCCTCACCATTCTAAAGCTTCCATCGCCTGAGAAGCAGCCAGCTTAGAAAGTCGAAATATTCCATCAAAATTTCGTTGGTCCATAAACTCCTTGTTAAATATTGCATCAGATAAAACAACCGAAGATGCTCCTTGTCTGATATAATCCCCTATTGAGTCTACAAAGATTTAGAAGTAACAAATGAACTCAGAAGCAGATCAAGTTATATCAAACTGATGAAAATAATTTCCAAAAAAACTGACTGGCCCAGAAAACAGAAACAGTGAACCGCATGATTAAAAACAAAACAAAAGAACGCAAGGGGCAAATAGTTTTAACTTTTAGTTGAGTACCAACCAATAGTTATGCCTTGAGAAGCAACCATTGAGATATGGGGAAATGGCTTCTTGAGTGCCGATATATATTTAATACCACCTAATGCGGAAACTGGATAAACCTATTTTTCAAGATTAGAAAATCAAAATAAATCCATAGAAAAATAATAATAACAAGGCTAGAACCATATTCTGATGTCAAAATGGAACGCAAGCACAAGCAGACGAAAAATTTTATGCACTGAAGAACAAATGGGAAAAGAAATAACTTGCATCGGTTTTTCCTTCTTTATTACTCGTAATTGCATAATAATTACCATTTAAGAAATTTCCATTAGGACTTACTGTATTGAAAAGCATCAAGGGAACAAAATAAATGAAAATTAGTTTTGAGTAGTATATTTACGTTTCTTTTTAATTAAGAAATATAAATTTTATCATGTTTGTTTGAGACAAACACATAACCCTAAGAATTATGTATATATTTCTAGTTTTCCAAGGAAAATGAGGTAGTTCCTTGAAAGTTGTAATGTAAACGAGGTATACTGGTCATCTATCTAAGCGAAATAAGTGGTGAATGCAGTGATGGGAAATGACAACTGCTTATTGTTACCAACGAGCTTGCTAAACCAAACAACAAATTTACTTACTTTAACAATCTCAGCACCAGCTTCGTATGCGGTCAGTATCTGTAAAGCATATTTTCATTAAGTAAAAAGGATGAATCCTTGAGAATTTATAGGGAAAAGAGGCAAATAAATGTTATGTGATTACTTCTGTTGGGGTCATCACACCAGGTATATACAAGAATTCATCTTCAATATCATCCATTATACCCTGTTAACCAGTGAAAATAATCTGAGAGAAGAAAATATCCTCGTAGTCTCTTTTAGTTGGACTCCAGGATGAAAAATCACGACAAACAATGACGGGAAGAAAAAAGGAAAACATGAAAATAGGATAAAGAGGAATCAGCATACAATTAAAAAAGTCCACGGTGATATATAAGCAAAAAAGTAAATGTGGTATGCTCGTCATCTATCAATGCTTACCTTCACCATAGTAGGACTCATTAGAAACTTGGCTCCACCTTTTACAGCATCCTTTGCGTCCTTAATATTAAGAACTGTCCCAACCTGCAGAACATTTGCGTATCTTCATAAGAACTCAACATCATCCATCTTTTGTGAGATTGACAAGTTATATTTTTGTAAGCATTAAGAGTAAAGCTATAGTTCATCCTAATCCATCAAAGGCTCAAAAGTCAAAACCAAAGGCTACAAAAATTTTGACCTAGGTGTAGCAAGGATATATTACAAACATTAAGAAAGCATCACGCCCATAAAAAGCAAAGAAAATAATTACTCCCACTGTTTTGGTAGGATAGTCTTGCAGCAACTGCTGTAGAACCTGTTTCAATTTTTATAACAGATGAAAAAAATGAAAGAAAAATAAGATAAATTCTTAAAATTAGAAACAAGTACAATGAAAAGGAAAATATTCTCAACAACAACCTCAAAAACACCTGGTGTTGACGTAACAATCTCCAGCTGCATATTGACATGAAAAAAAAAAGGTTAGAAACCATCAATCAATACATCAAAAAAGAAAAAAATATATTTCAATAAAGTTGACATGCTCTAGCCGCTTTCTGTGGTTATTATTATTCATCATGCACTTACCATTTACAAAAGCGTCATGAGGACAATTTCTTCAATCTTTTTTTAGTTCTACTAATCATTTAGAAAACGTCAGCAATAAGAAACCATATACCAATAGAATATTTGGATGTATCACTGAATATTATTCAAACTAGTTCAAATATACGGGAACAATGAAAACTTAGAATTAAGAGCACTCACGACTGATACTCCACCATTTAGCGCAGCACAAGCAGCACTCATTGCCAGCTCTGCACTATAGTGAATTAAGAAAATAATTAAAGTCCAGACCAAGACTCTAGATACCTCTAGACAAACGATATTAAATTTCTTAACTCTAGTAAACTTCGGAAGCCCAGATATTTTGGATTAGAAAAAAACATGAAGGTGTGTTCAAGCAGCTTTTGAAGGAGGCAGGGAGTGTGGCTCACTTTGATGCCTTTCTTTGGATCCATGTCACCAACACTTTCTGTGGTCTACCTTTATCTTTCTTTACCTTTGTCTAGACTATTTATATTTCAAGTCTAATATGTTTTCTTACTTTTTAAAGAAGACATAAGCAATGAATTCCGGAAAAGAGGCGAGGTTCTACTTTTGCGAACCACCTATTCAACATCTAATGAAACAATGAAAATGTATTTTAGTATTAGGTTGGTGCTATCTGACCATTTTTTGTAATATAACCATGTAAATGGGTTTATATAGATAACAGACCTTGCTGTCAACTATCAGCTAACCAGTAAAGTTGTAAACAATAAGGAGAAAGTAATGAAGACCTTGGGGCAACCAGCTGGCCACTAAGAACTAATAGTTCGATCATGTCAAGCATAGAGTTCTAAGAGAATCCAGCACCACTACATTCTAAAATGCAGAAAGTGTTACATGAGAATGAGTTACCTGCTAGCACGAAGGCAAGCGATGACTCCAGAATTGTAAATTTTTTTCAGGGTCTTGTCTTTGGGAGATACAGAGAGCTGCCTAGAAGCGCAGAAAACTGTAAAGCGAGCACATGCAAAAGGGTTACAGTACCCTATAGCAGGCAAAGACCACATGTTGATTCTCCTAGAAACTAACATATACGTCAAATATAGTCTTCGACTCTTCTGGCTGTTTGCAGTGATTTATCCCAGCCAATCAGATATACTGATGATTATGAATGTTATGTCATCAGTCTTGGATTCACGGAAATATCTCTGGAAAAAGTTTATAATATTAACTCGAAAGGCAAAGCAATGGACGATAACATATAGTTTGAGCTTAATTTAAAAATTAAAAAAAAAAAAAAGGACCAGAGGACAAAAATTCTTCAATCCAACTTATTATATAATGTCAATGTTTCAGATCACAACTTTTTTTTCAGGGTCATGTTGGTGACTACAAACTACTGGTGAAAGCAGGTGGAAACTTACGTATTTGAATGTCTGATGCCAATTTATTACCAGTAATCATTGCAAGAGCATAATCCAGTTGTGAAATGATGAAAGCGGTTAGAGTCTCTGATGACAATCTCCTTCTTAAGTAGCCTTGAAGCTAACTTCATGAAATTATGACAATCCACACAAATTCGAATGTTTTTCATGATCCTTACAAGAGTTCCGACATGACACAAGTTACTATCATTCATTATGGAAAAAACCAAAGCCAGCTTCTCACTATGATGATATAGTTGCTCCTCCTTTTGCTCTTGCTCCACATCATGCAATGCTATGCTTGTCTCGGGCACATAACCAAGCTGTTTCAACCTCCCAATGAGTTCTTCAAGCTCATTGCATATTTCCTCCCTCTGTGGGTGACGTCGACCTCCAGATGCAAACTCATGGACTTGATTTTCTATTTCTACCCAACTTAATCCAGGTTCCTTTCTCACTCTAGACCCTTTCATTTCCATCCTAATTAAGTCTGCTTCGTAAAAGCTACCACTGAAGCAATATAAGTTTGACATTTGCACATAAGCTAAAGAATTGCTAGGATCTAACTCTTTCAATTTGTTAGATGCTAATTTCGCCAACTGTGTTGCACCATGCTTCCTACATGATCCTAGGAATGAACTCCAAACAACAAAATCAGGCTCTATAGGCATTTTACTTATAAAATATTCAGCCTCTTGAACTCGACCAACTCTACCCAAAATGTCAACCATGCAAGCATAGTGATCTAGTTGACAAACAATACCATAATACTTAATTGAATTGAAAAGGCTGGTTCCTTCTTCCACAAGCCCAGCATGGCTACAAGCTGAAAGGAGAGAAACAAATGTAGTAGAATCAGGTGGGACATCCATCTTTGAAAACAAATGCAATGCATTTTTAGCTTGCCCATGGATAGCATAGGCCTTCATCATTGTGTTCCAAGAAACCAAATCACGATACTTCATTTCCTTGAATACTTTCTTAGAGAGAGTAATTGAACCACACCTCCCATAAGCATGAATCAAGGCATTGTTAAGGACAATGTCGTCCTCAGACATAGATTTAATTAGTAGTGAATGATATGTTGAGGCATGCTTCTCGGTTAGATATCCAGCACAGGCCTTTAATACAATTGAAAAAGTATGCCCATCCGGGGTTAAGCCTTCTTGACGAAACTGACGAAATAGGGAAAGGGTTTTGCCAGGGTCATGTTCTACAAGAGCTGTCATAATGCTGGTCCACAAAACTATATCCCAATGATATCCTGCTTCAACAAAAAGCCTATAACTATCAGCAATGTCCCCTCCAAGATCTGCATAAGTTTTCACTAATGCAGTAGCTACTTCAATTTCTGAGATGAAAGCAGTTTTGAATGCTAGACAGTGTAACTCATGACAAAAGCTCAGACCCAGACCAAATTCATCCCTATTGCACAGATTTAAGGAAGACAAAGTGCTTAAAAGTGTTGCACGATCAAACCCAATTCCTTCACGATTCATTTTCATAAATAAATAGATAGCTTGGTTTCCAAGTTTCCGGAAACAAAACCCTGCAATCATCGAGTTCCATGTTATAAGGCTCGGATTTTCTATGCTCTTGAACATAGTCCAAGCATCATCGTTACTGTCATTAAAAATACCACCTTTACAGAAACTCTTGCTATACATAGTAATAAGAGCATTTGCAACGTAAACAAAGGCATCTAAAGACGTTTTCAAGGCAAACCCATGTACCTGCCGCCCACGTTCACCATCATGCTCGCCAAATGAGGTCAGCAAACTTGCAACTGTAAACTCATTTGGTCTACAGTCTACCAACATTCTAGGAAATAGAAGGAAGCACTCATCGACATGTCCATACTGAGAAAGTCCCGAGATAAGCACGGTCCAAGACACAAGGTTTCTCCTCGGCATTTCGTCAAATAATTGCCAGGCATAATCTAAGTGGCCACACTTACAGTACATGTTAATAAGATGATTGGTAACAAAGAGATCGAATGAGTCCATCAGATCCCGCGACATCATGTAACGGTGCAGTCCCATGCCTTCATGGAGGCAGCGGAGGCGCGCACAAGCATGGAAGAGATAGGCATAGGTCTGGCGGGAATGAGGCTGTCTAAAGGAGTAGAACAGTGAAAGAGCATGCCTAAGGTGGCCGCGCGTGGATATCACACGGGTGTCCCATAGATAGTCATTATCAATATCTTCTGTCCTAGAAGGCACAAAATCACTTTCTGCTGCCGACCTCCAGTATCTAAGGTGGATAGGAAAAGCCCATTTACTTGGATACAAAACCAAATTCCGTTTGGCAAGAAATGGATAATGAATTGTTGCAAGTTTCATGACATCAATGATCCTATCTACCGTTTCCGCACCAGTCAGGAATTTCAACAAACATCTAGAATGCAAAAATTCGTCATCTCAATTTTCACAAACATATCAAGCCAAACATAAAACACTAACAAACTTGCATAGAAGCACCCCAGAACCTTACTTCCATGACAAAAACAGAAAACTAGAAATTGCCCTCTAATTCGCTGCAACCCATTAGCAAAATCTTATCTCGATAAGCTACCTATGATTCTAACCCAACCAAAAACAAGGCTCTTACCCAACGTTCTTCCCTTCATTACGATCACCACATGAACACGTATTCAGGTGCAGCAGAGCAGACGAGTATGCATACATACATATATATAAATATAAATATACATATACATATACATGAATATTTTAGGAATGAACAATGAAGAAAGAAGTGTATGAAGAAATTAATTTAGTTGAGACAAGAGCGATGGCATTGATTTTTAGGAGACCTTTAGCAGATTTTTAGCAGAGTCGACGGCATTGATTGGCGAGCGCAGGCAGAGAGTGGATGGTGGACTGGTTGGAGTTGCACGGAGTGGAAATGAGATAGAGCGTTGATTTGGGCCGGCCGACTTTTTGGGCTTCTAGGAACTAGGCCGGCTTTCAAGCACAGTCGGGCTCGACTGACGGATCAAAATTGTACGAGAATGGCCATTCATGAGTTTTATGAGATAATGTCCTGGGAGGCTATTTTTTAATCTTAATTTCATAAATGTATTTAATTTTCAAATTTTACCCTTTTAGATGTGTGTACGTAGGATTTTCTGTTAATACCGATTCTATCTTTATTTATTGCATTTTATTTTATTATAGTTTTTCAATTTAAAAGATTTGAATCCTTAATTTGTAATTATATTCATTTAATTATTGTAGGACCCATTCAATTTTTCAACACTAATTCCTCGTATCACTCCTCCAAAAAAGATTTTTGTCAATAACACATAGATGTCTGCATGATTTTTTCCTAGTGTTCTATTTCTGCTTAGTCTGTCAATAGACTTTTTCCGTGCTTTGTTTCCAGTCGTCCCCAACCGCTATGTTTGTTCACCGTTGTCGTCGTTTTAGACCTTCAATTTCTATTGCCGAATAAAGTTTTCGTCGAAGTATTTGCACGTTTCCAACACCGAGCAGTGCGTTCCTCGTCTCCTGTCCCCTTCTATTTATACCAATTGTAAGTTAATAGTCTTCCCGTTAAGATTGGTATATATTTATGTGTGTATATTTTATAGTTATATATACATAAGATATGATAATAATCTTTTGCTCGCATTGTCAAGTAATTTTGTAGAAAGGGTATAGAAAATTAAAGTCCTAAACGTCTCATAATCTTAGTCTTCCCGTTAATATTTGTATATATGGGGATATATTGTATATACATGTGTATATCTTATAGTTATATATACATAAGATACGATATTAATCTTTGGTTGGTCTCAAATAGTTCTGTAGAAAGGATCCTCCAAAATTGAAGTTCTAAACGTCTCATGGTCTAGAAGTTTTCAAATTGTAGGTCTGGGGATTTTTTTTTGGAGGTTTTCAAATTTGGGGAATTTTGGGATTCTTTTTTATGTTTTGGGGTTTTAATTACTTTTGGAAAGTATGATTAAGGTAAAATTATGGGATCTAAATTATAACCTTCCAATTAATCAATTTTGCATTTTAAAAAGAACTTAAAATTAATTTATAGATACAAAAAGATATTTAAGTAATTTATGTGATCGGTACCCTCTTAAATAAGTTGTTTCATGACAAATGTGTAAATTCTATACATTCCATCTTTTTATGTAATTAAGATCTTTAAATAGTATCAATGTACTAATTGGCAAATCATGTTTCTTGTTTTCAGATATATATTTTGTTTTCGAAAATTGATTTCGGACTTGATGATCCATGTAAATTCTGAAAACAACATAATTTTTTATATTTTTAGTATTTTCAAATTTCGAATTTGAGACTTTAAAATATAGAATTATATTAAAAAAACCAATAATTTTAATAAATATATTATTTCATATTATAAACTTATTTTTTTTTGTTAAAATTAAAACATATAAAATATAATATATTATAAATTATACCACAATTATACAATCTTATAATAAAAATATTAATAAATTAATTCATCCAACCTCCACCTTACTAATGGGAGAAAACACTTTCACTCAAATAAATTTTGGACCAAAGTGGCGTAAGTCAACATCTCACCCCAAATGTAAGAAGTAAAAAAATGGAGGCTAAAATAATTTTGTTGGATCCTACGTCTCCCGATTCTCGTAGTCAGGAAAAAAAATTGAATAGTTTTGCATTTAATATATCCATACAATTGACTACTAAGTCCAAGAATAATGGACTCCACCTGTTCTAAAATTGTTTAAATTTGTAAAAATCCGCGCACAACAAATCCAGATATATCTCATCCACCAACATTTGATAAAACTTCGATACAAAATTCAAGCACAAACTCAGCTCAATTTCTACACAACCCAATTCTGCAAGCCCTAATTTCACTCCCAACTCTAAAGAAACTGTGAATTAGCCACCTCATTTCATGAACACTCCCAGTTTTTTTTGTTTTTTGTTTACAAGAAATACACAACTTGACTAAACCCACCCACCAAAATTAGACTCTTGGCATTAGATTAAAGTAAGAGAAGTGAATTCCGGCATTACCTATGCATGGTGAAGACAGTCCTCCCAGGAGCCATATTTTGAAGTGAAACTGCCGCCGCCATTTCGTTGAGCAAACTCCGAAACCACTTCTCGAGCACACGCATCCCACGTTCTCGCCACTTCACTTATGGAGAATGGATGTGGAAGGCTTCGGACACACATGTTGAACTTTTCCCTTGTCTTCAATGAAAGCTCTTCACAATCTGTTGGACTGCAAAAATGTTAGCTTTTCAAGTTATAATTCTATGGAACAGAGAAGTTGTCGGGGGTGATTTAATAATGGTTAAGAATTACTTTCTCCATCTGTTCCTGGAACACATAATGGTTCGTGAAAAACATTATTAAAATTAATGAGCTTTTTTATATATGTACGTAGATTGATAAAACAATGAGGGACCAAGGATGTTTATCACTCATACTCTACACAAAGGGAAAAAAAAAAGATACTCAACCCGTAGGTTTGATCTCTAGGATCTATACCATAGATGCAAATCCATCAACTGGTTTTAATTTTGCTTCCCTGTATAAATCTACTCATAATAATTCAAGAAGGCTTGTTCTTAGGAACTGGAAATTCTTGTGTTTGTGCCCTTTGGCATTCTCAGAAGTTAATAAGGATTCATTAACTACTCTATACCAAAATAAAAAGGCACATCTAGGAACATTTGTTTAGAGCAATAAAAAAGAAATAAAGACCTCAGAATATAAAAGATCGAATCATAAGGTGGTCATATATAGGCAGATTCGTGCAATAAAAAAGGGATAAAGGATAAATAATCTCACCAAGCTTCCAGTTTCAATTTATTGAATATTGGAGAACAGTGTGGATAGCCTTTGGGAACTAGCAACTTCAAGGGATGGACTGTTAACTGCATGCCATAATGAATAAAATGAGTAAAATAAAGTTAAGCCTATAATTGATGAATCACATTAAGAAATAGATGGGGCTGAAGTACCTGAAGGGCTGAAGCTTGCTGTGAGATTTTATTCGAACTGATGCGCATAGCAGCAAAAGAACACTCGACTATGATCCCTTCACTTCTGTCATTTGTAGCTGCATTATCAGTTGTTATCATATCTTTGTCACATACAGACACCACTGTGTCTATCAGCTGCTCATTTATCTTCCTAATTTCTTCTAATAAATATTGCTTGAACGGCAATGAAAACCCACGCCAATGGGAATGTTCAGGAGTCTATATTAACAGAAGTATTTGAAAAAATATCAAAGAACTATGTTGTCAATGGGAAACTTATAAAAAAAAATATTCGAAGTTGAACAAATAGTTGTGTTCAAGATTTTGTAACTCAATAATTTATAATTTCTTATATACACAACTTATTCCTTCTTATCGACATTATCATCGATGGATCTTGCTAACCTCATTTGGGGTAGAAAGCTAATTTCACATTCATGAGTAAAAGTACTTCACATTTAATTTATTTTATCAATCAAACAGAATTGGCAAGGTTAATGATCATATTTTCTCAGAAGTTCTTATTTGTTCACCTAGGCAGTTTCACCCTTTCGAGCTTCTAATCATAGATAAACGAAACGGATAACTCACGCACCTCGATTCTTGACCTTTCTGTAAATGTTGAATTCAAGTCATAACTTTCACAATACATCATTCGTCTGGAGCTGGTATACATCCTGGTATTCCTGCAGTGTCTTGTTCTTCTTGATCCTGTACTGCCTCCAAATATTGAACATCTTTTTCTCAGACGAGATGTTACCGTGCCCACCAAATCCTCGCTAATTTCAGCTTTGGACTTGTTTAGGGGCGCTGATGAAGCAACTCTGTCAGTCATACAGACAATAGAATCTATGTCACTAATAGAAGCACTTAATGCTTTAGGTGACATTACGTTTACCTGAGATTGAGCAAGCACAGAAATTTAACAATGTACGTACGACTTGTTCTAAAAAGAGATATGAAACTAACAAGTATTTATTAACTAACCATTTTAAGCAAACGTTGAAGAGGAGTAACAGAACATATGTCATTATCACGATCTGATTCTGATACTTCTTCCAAAAGGGCTGAAGGAGACATGCCAGGGGTGGAGATGATGAAAGGTTTTTCTTCTTGGACTGCATCATTTACTATTTGATGAGACACCTTTCCTCTTTGTGAGAATAAAAAATCATCCCAGGCATCCTCCTCGCAATCAGCTAACAAAATCAATAGCAGACAAATCAACTGAATTTTTAGTAGAAATGAAAGTTCCTGGAGATCAGTGGAAACAGGATTAACTGATCTACCTTGGGAGACAATAATTGGAATTCCTTCACTTGACTAATTTGTTCATTGAACAATCCACTAAGAAAAGTTTGTTCATTACATTTCTGAAACTCGTCAAATTAAAAAAAGTTTCTCCTGAAATTTTCCTCCTCGAAGGAACTTAATTGAGCCGTTTAAAGAATGATTATTGTTTCTGTTCAAAATTTCGTGATACCTAAGATTTTCACTACAAAAATTTTCTGCATATTTGTTCAATGAAAGAAAACGTGATTTAAATCCAGGTTTCCTCCCCGACAAAATATACAAATATACTATCATATTTCCGCGCGCGCGGGAATAATCTTTTTGCAAAATTATCTTCGTCAAGTTAGAACCAAAAGAAATGAGGCACTCGATATCCAATTTTATGTTACTCTACTCTGTTGCAGGAAGTAAAGCAGCAGATGGCGAAGTACAAAGATATCGATATTCAGTTCCTCACCTCTTCCATTTTCAGGTAAACCAGGCACCATCGTCCTCCTCTTCCCGTAAGCTAATTTCCAATAATCGCCCAAATAGATTCCAAAGATCCTTTCACCTGGTACAACATGCAACACAATCATACAAATAGCAACAAAAAGGCGCTAAAGCGAGTTCCAAGCCGTAGTATCACGTTCACTCACAAGAACAAAACGAAAAACCATCATCTAACTCAACTGCCACAAGAAACCACAAACATAGCACTAAATAGACGCCGATTACAGAAACATTCACAGTCGCAACAAGAACAAGATCAGCGAGAGTTGAGAATGAGGCAAAAACGCAACCAAAAACGATTGATCGAATACCTTTAGGGCTCAGCCACAAGAATTGCTTCCATATCCAAACCGATTGAAGGCGGTAATGGTGGAAAGTTGCTTGATCTTCATCGGAGTTATATAGTGGCGATGCTTAAGGGGCAAGAAAACAAAGAAGGAAGAGGATGAACAGAGAGCGGTTGTTGGAGAACATACAGCTCATATCCGCGCCATTCTAACAAACCGTTCAAAAATCGGAACGTGTGTCCACAGTATTCTTTTCTTTTTTTCCTGCAAATAATATTTATTTTCTAAGGCCTTTTATGAAAATGAAAATATCTTTGTTGGAAATTGTTTTACTTATATTTGGAATGAGGATTAATATTTATATTCATTTTCTCTTGTTTTTTAAGTTTTCTAATTTCCTTTTAAAAAAATTAGAATATTATTATATCTCAAATACTATGCAATAATTCAATAACTTTTGAATTTCTCAACTTTAACTCAACATTATGTTACTTTCTTGACTCTAATACTCCAATTTATTGTAATAAAAAAATAGCTTTTGAATTTTGTCCGTTGGAGAATAGTTAGACTTTTTTCTTTTCTTTTAGAGAAAAAAGAACTAAGCATCTATTATCATTTCAAAGGTTGATGGTTTGATTTCTTACCGTTAAAGTTTTTGAATCTTGTAAACTATATTTTTGTATTTTAAAATTTGTTTTTTTTTTAATGTTATCAATAACTTTAGTATTTGTATAAAGTTGGTAAATCACACACATTTGTATTAATTGGAACGAGTACTTGGTACATACATGATATGTGTGATAAACATGTACGATAGATTTATGATACAATAGTATGATTTAAGGTGATTTTGATATGACTTTTAAGATGAGTGTTTTTATGTGACGTAATCGTAAGTTTAAAGAGAAAATGAAAGCATTGATAGAGGGAATTTTTTCTTCTTTTTAAAAGCATTTTTATATAATTTAGAGTGTGTTGAGAATTTTGAAACGTTATAAGAGTACATAGCAAATTTAATGACTGAATTTGAAAACTATTATTAATTAATTAAATAATAGAAGAGTGAATTTAATTTGGTAATCTTTTATGAGCGTCTTGAGGGCTCGAGATAGATTGTCGTATGTAATTGATTTTTTTTAATTTTTTTAGTAATTAAATATTTTACTTACTAATATTTAATATTTTCTTATTCCGACCGTTTGTTTAAATTGGATTTAATCAATAATTTTTCGACCATATTTATCTATATGTTGGACCGATATGAAAAGTCAAACCTACCATATGAGGTGACGAATATTTAGCCTAATTTGGAAACAAAAATCGACTCCATATATATCCAATACAATCGGTTATTAATCCTTTGTCTCGACAACATTTTCCTCTTAGTAAAATAAACTTTTAATTTTGAAATTTGAAATAGGATAAATTTGATCACAGAAGTTTTTAAATGGTCACTCCTCGTTGTAATTTGTAAAATGATTCTAAATAGTCTTTCACTGGTGGTTAATTTTTTTTTATACTTATTTGTTACCCAAAATATATTCATTTAATAATATTGTGTAGTTATTAAATTTGCTTTCTCGTTCATTGTCCTTTTTCCTCTCTCCTCCTTCTACAAACACGCTTCCTTTATTTATTTATGTAATTTGTAACGTATGAATAAAAAATCCGTTGGCTCGAATGTGTATTCCCTATTCTGGGCAGTTAATATTTTGTCATTAGTCTGTATGGGTGGGTGGCCTAGGAGCGGTCGCTTGATGCAGTCTTCTGCATTGTCTGGCCGTGATACATCTGTTGAAGTGGGTTTGAGTATTGATTGGGGTGTCGAGGGCAATTAGTAAGGTATTTTCTACCTCTTCTCTTAAAATTTGAAGCTCAAATCTTCTACTACGTGGTAAAAAGAAAAAAATACCGTAAAATTATGATGTTAAATAAGGTCAAAAGATAAGCCCTTTTAAGAATTGGGCTAACTTATGGATTTAACAATTATGGCCCAAACTAGCCTCTAGACCTATCATATAAAATACATAAACCAACCGCATTTTGAGTTTAAATTGTTTGGTAATTGAGGTGAGTTGTTAAAATTAGACACTCGTTTTAAAAAATGGTCAATATGGTCAATAGTATCACATTTTGCATAAACAGCTAAACTAATTTTTAAGAGACTTAAAAATTTGGATGATTTTTCAACTTTGTCCTTAAATCAAGTAATCTCTCATTCTTCCCAGTTTTCTCCTAGTTAGCAATTGATTTGATTAACAATATTGTAAGTTATTGTACCAAATAAAATCTCTAAAATTAAGCACTTATAGTTATAGGGGTATATTTGTCTAAAATAATATTTAGGATTCTAAAAAATATCAGTTAGTCATTTATACAATATTCAATATGTTTGACTATTTTTTAAAAAAATCTTATTTATTTATTATCCAATTTTATAATATTCTTGAAAGATTAAGAATCATTGACGTCTTTAGAGTCAATTTAAGAGTTAAAAGTTAAATGTTAAGGTAGATATAAGTTAATAAATTTATATTATTAAATAATAAATTCAACGTGGATATTTAAATTTATATATATTTAAAAATGATTGGTAACATGAATAATGAAGGGTGTCGTGGTGTAGTTGGTTATCACGTCAGTCTAACGATTATGAGTCGTGAGGGTGGAGTAGGAAATTAATTAATTAGTTTTTTTTAGTACAAGAATTAATTAATCAGTTGAATTAATTTCTAAAGAAATTAAAATTAAAATTGTGTAATAAGGTAGATTCTTCGTTTCTAATTCTTTTTTTTTTTACTTGTTTTTTTTTTCAGTACCCACTTTCTTTTAGTTTTCAAATTTTGAGTTTAGTTGAAAAAACATTATTAAAAGTATATGAATAAGTGAGCATAATATAAAAATAAAAAATAAAAAGGAAAAACTAAAAAAATAATTATCCTACAAGTTTGATTTCTCTTCTAATTTTGTTAAATAATGAAGAGTCTACAACATAATATTATTGATTAAACATGGGAATTTGTTGCATTTATTATATATTATATTGATATATTGATTGTTATAAGTTAATTAAGTACAATTAATTTATTACCAACCATATGCAAAATAATATAATATATAAAGTTAAAGTACAACGAGATAAACACAATACTCTTATACTATAAGTAATAATATGTCTAAAATCGAAATATTCCAAAAAAATACTATCTAAAAATATTTATAAATAAATATACAGAGAATGAGAATACATTCGACTCTCTTATAGCTTTAAACGTAACAATAAATGATTAGATGGACCTTAATCACAAAAAAATTAGGAAATTGAGTAAATAAAACTAAGATGAAAAAAAAAAACAATACACAAGATCATTATTTTAAGGGTATGAAATATTACACCCTCATAAATTCCATCTAGGACAAACGTGTATATATCATAATTACAAAATATATATATATGGCGATTTAGTCGAACTAGGAAGTGGAGGGTAATAGTAATATATATCGTCCCAAAGATTATCCTTTGACATGGAAACTCCCGAGAAGAGGCAATTGCTTTATTTCCAACCAAATGTGACCTAAAACAAAACCGAAAGCATTGTACCACCATATAGCTAGGATGCATCTAAAGGAAGAAAGCGGTGAAAACATTGTACCCTAAACTCTAAATTCGAAAGTGTTGTACCAAAAGCGGTTAATTGTTTTGTTTTTCAATAGATATTATTCTACGAGCCTAAAGAAATCGTAGTCAATTTTGAAAATTTAGCGGGGAGTATTTTTTTAAACATCTTTTCGAGAGATGCATATAAGAATCATTAAATAAACAAGAACAAGAACAAAAAACTAAACACTATCGTTTAGTCATAATTAAACCGAATGAACTTGTTGCTAATCTGATCATCAAGGCATGCAGCAAAAAGGGAAATCACAACGTTAAATTAAAAACAATCTCTAGACAAGAGATCAAAAGACAGTGAACACAACAATATTATGTGTCAAATCTTAAATAAAAATTAGGAGATGAATTAAAAGATCATAAACCCTAATTAACTAAAGCTTAAGAGACAAATCAAGTTGTTCATGCCCATTCTCCACATGGTGATCGGTTTTCAACACTGCCTCTGAAAGATTCAAGTTCCTTGATGATCCCACACCATTATTCATTGCTGTCGACAATCGAAATCCACCCTTATTACCTTGAATTCCCTCCATCTTCAGCCTCTCGAATGTCGACGACGGCATTGGATTATTCGCCGCCACCACCGTCGCCGCTCTAGAACCCCATCCACTGATATCTACACCGTTGTGAAATTGCAACCCTGGCGTCCCCAGCCATCGGTAAGACGAGGACTTGTGAATCATTGAATCCATCCTGACTCCGAGGGGTTTTCCAAATGACGATCCGTAGAGGTTATGAGTCGACAGAGTGGAGTAGGGATAGTACGACGTCAAGTGCGGCGGACCGAAGACCCCACCGACGCTGCCGCCGGCGAGTTCCATGCCTTGGCGGCGCTTGGCCAAGGCACGTTCTGGCTTGTGAGCGTTTTGATGGCCACCTAGGGCTTGGGAGGTCGAAAATTCCCTCTTGCAAAAGTTGCATGAGAAAACCCTAGATTTAGAATTTGAAGATAATTCATTTGCATGGCCGTGAGAAGAAGAACCCACCGTCACCGCCGGCGACGGTACCACCGCCGGCCCCACCCTCTTTGAGTTCAAAATCTTCGGCGACTTATCGCTGGAATCTTCATTACAAAGCTTAAGATCCAACAACAGCCGCGAGTTCGACTGCCGATCGCCGCCGCCGTCGACTTCATCGGAAACTACCATCTCCAACTTCATCGCCGCCGCTCTGCCGCCGCCGTCGGACGCGGCGGAGATGCTAGAAGCTTCAGAAGGGCACGTTTGATCTTTCCCAAGTTCCGCCATGGCCGACCAGCAAAATAAAGTAAAAGAAAAAACAAAGCTTCAAAAAAAAAAGAATTTTTTTTCTTTGTTCTTCTAAATTGCTTCCGAATTTGTGAGAGAAATCGAAAGAGAAGAATTGGGTTTATATTTCTGGTTGAAATTAATGCAATGGATTTGCAATTATGGCAAGAAATCTCAAATTGCAGTTATTACCATGAAAATTATAAGAGAAGATGTGTTTTTTTTTGTGTGTGTTTTTTTTTTTTTTTAAATTTCCAGAAGTTATGGGAGCTGATGATCATCATAATTTGAAACTCTATTTAAATTTTATTTTTATTTTTTGAAATATTAAAAATTAAGAACACAATAGAATCTGCCACTAAAGAGAAAGATTCACGAGTTTGATCTGAAAAAGGCATGAGATAAAACACCATCCCATCTCATTGATTAAACTTTCCTAAAATGATCCAAGGGATTTTTATTTTTATTTTTTATTTATTACTTTAGTTTAAAAATCTTTGTTGATGTTCTTTTGTTAATTAATTATTGTTACTACATGTTAGGGATATTGTCATGGTGACATATTCAATTTCCTTAAAAAAGACAATGACAACCTATGACTTTTAGGGCAGATTAATAATTTTTTTAATTTTAATTATTATATCATCATGAAACATTGGAGATTGGGTCAAGCTAAATCTAATAGATTCAATAGAATAATATAATAAGGGATGGATTTAGAATTTTATGTTAGAGGGACTCAAATTCAATTAAATATAATTTTTAATTATTGAAATAGTTTATTTAGTATTTTAAGTTTTAAAAAAAATGTAATTTATTGTTGATAATTTATGAATTTTGAAAACATATTAGAGAGAGCATAAAAATTAATGAGTGATTTTACTTTTAATTTTTCGGGTTTTAAAAGACATGTTAGAGAGGGATATTAAAGGTGAGAATTAAAGAATTAAATCATTATTATTATTATTATAATTAATTAAGCATGGACATGCACAAAAAATTTGAAAAAATTTGAAAATTTTTGAAGTTTGAAAGTTGATAATATTAATCATCATTGAATTTTTGTGGCCTTTGATTCTGTAACTGACATCCTTCTGGACAATTGAGATTTAACCAACTTTATAATGATTCACTTTCTGCAGTTACTAAAACTTCCACATAATATTTTCCTAAAATAACATTCTTAATTAATTTTTAACACAAATTAAGATTTATGCATCAACTTAGCCAGTTGTGATGATCTTCATGTTGCCAAATTTGTGTATATGTTTCAATTTTCCATTTAAGAGTAAACCAATTTTAAATTTGAATGGTGAACATATTATATATATATATTTTGTATTTAATTAATAGAATTGAAATGATCTCAATAGTTTAGAAGTTCGATAACGTTTGTCTTAACCAAAATAGTACGAGAAGTTGTAAAACGTAAACATTATTATCAAAGCCCTAAATATTAATAAGAAACTAGATTTATCGTCAAATATTACCGTATGATTTCGAATTTTAACGAGTGTAAACCAAATTCATATTAGGCAATATAATTTCTATTATCTTTATATATTGTGAAATTTATTGTATTATAAAGTTCGATAATATTTATTTTAACTAAAATAGTGCGAGAAGTTGTAAATAGAAGCATTATTGAAACCGACTTAAATATTAATCAATAAGAAACTAAGACTTGAAATAGTTAAATGTAATTTGGGTTTTATATATATTAGGTAATATGAAACAGCATATGTTATTTATTCTAATTAAAAAAAATCCCCAATCAAGGGAAACTATGAGAATTAAAACCCTAAATTTTACAATTCACACACTTTTACTAGATTACTTAACCATTTAGGGTTTTTATTTTATTATTTATTATTTATTATTTATTTTTGTTCTATCCTTTTTTGCTAGTTTATATATACATCTCCTTCTACCACTCTTTATATGGAATATGTTTAAATTAAAGAAAGTTTGATTTGGGCCATATTATTTTCTTCTTTATTTGATATATATAAGGTGAGATAATTATTATTTCAACCTAAATCCACTGTTTTCATGTGCCAAAATTTGACCAAAATGACTATTTTTGATAGTAAGGAATTGAATGATCAAATGTAATAAACTTTATAGAAGTTGGTGTGTTCTGAAAGTTAATTAATTAATTTCTTTTATACTCTTATAATCAAATTCATTTTAGATTATATATACACACACATCATGCTTCAATCGATAAAATGTAAATGATTTAAAGCCTCTTCTACTCCTCTACGTATTATGTAGAACATGGATTTGAAGGGATCGATTCTCATTTATCTTTGTAATTAAGAAAAAAAAATGCAACATATAGACGGGCGGTTGCTCATTCACTCACTCTCTTTTTGAATAATTATAAGGCTCTTTCTATTTATGTACTTTCTAGTATGGTTCTGCTATAAGAACACTGAACGTCCAGCTTTGCAAAAGTAATTAACATTATTCTCCCCAACCCACATCTTAGTGTGAAATCATGATCATTTGATCGAGCACGTATAATTTCTTTTTATCTCAAAATGTGTTCCTACTCTATTAGATCAAGTCATAACCTAGACCGTTTCTACTAGTAATAGTGTACTACTACAAAGAGACTAAGCTCCATTTCAGAGATTAGACTATCTTTCCCTACTATAAGAAGGGTCTCTCCTACTTCCGTACCTGCTATAGAATTATATTTTTCTCTCTTTAATTAAAATAACATTTTTTTGTGCTCTATTGTCAATTTGAAGAACTTTTGTACTTAAAAAAAAAAAAGAGAAAATTTTTCAATTCCCACTTATCCTTGTAAATAAGAAAAAAGGAAAGAAATTGTTTGCAACCCTTCATAGAAATAATAGCTCTTCACAACCTTTCACATAAGGGATGAGAGAGATGAATATGATGATAATTTTTCTTATATGGTAGGTGTAATGAATGTTTTAATGAATATATAGAAAATTAAGATAGTAGATTAGGGAGAAAAATCATATGTGGCCCTTTGTAGACCAACTTTGAAAACTTAATTTGAACTATTAAGCAAAGAATAGGATCATAAATGAGGCAGAAGTTGTTATGGAAAAGTATACATTATATCTCACGTAATCTTTAGTTGTCCACGGAATGATATTTCCGAAAAATACATTATCACACTTTTTTTTCATTACAACAATGTGCGGGAATTTGAACTTAGACCTTTTTATCGGAAATTAGTGTTTTAACCAGTTGAGATGAACTCGGTTTGGCAAATACATTATTACACACTTAATATCCTCTAAACCTCGACGTGTTAAGTTATTAAATGAAAGAGAGAATGAGAAAATGAAATAATAAGCCAAGAATGTCTCCTAGCTGTCCGCGAGAAGGTCCCACCACATCCCATATCAAGCGGCCTCCCTAGGTAGCCCCATCACCTATATAAGGGGAGGAACCGTCTTTGTGAAGGTAAGTGAAAAATCATCACTCAACTCATATTAACGTTACCGTTTTTTGTTTATATTTCTCTTTTTTTATAAATAAAAATAGAATTGCATGGCTCCCAATACCCATAAATTCAAAAATGGTAAAATAATGTTTTTATTTAACACAAGAAACAAGAAACGTGTTTGTGTTATTTTCAAAATTTCTTTACAATTTTGAGAATATTTCTAAAGAAATGAGAGATAAAGAAACATATATAAATAGTTGTCAAATCCTTAACTTTTTTAATAAAATTGGAAATAATACATACAAACAGAAACATTTTTGATAATCGTTTCTTGTCGTTCTCTAAAATTTTAAATTGAAAAAGTTTAAATTTTTAATATCAATATTCAAAATTTTATGTTATATTTATCTTTTAATATTTATTATACTTGTTATAGTTCCAATAAAATAATTCTTATAGGGGTAAAATACATTTTTAATGCATAGGTCTCCATTTGGTCTCTAAGTCTCAAAAAGTGACAGTTTAATCCCGACCTTTAGAAAATAGTTCTAAAATGTCCTTCTAACATTTACTAACGCAATGCTGACATGGCACTGGTGAGGTGGCAAATTTTAGATAATATATTAATACTTTAATTTATGTAGCATTTTTTTTTTGTTTTTAATTTTCTCCTTTCTCTTCCATCTCCTCCTTCTTCCCTTCTTCAACCCATTAACTCGGAGCAACCTCCAAATACCCCTTCACATTAGCCCATTTTTATTTGAACAAGAAACTTGATTTTATTGTTTTAAAATTTTGAGAAAAGTTTCTTAAAAATAGAAATGAGAAAGAGGAACAATTACGAAACATTTCTCAAAAATTGAAAACAAGAAAGGAGGGAAAAAAACACAGAATTATGGACCTAAATTTGAGAATTAAGGTTTCTATTGATTGATTTTATAGAGAGATGGTCAATTTATCTGTATTCCCTTGGTTTCGTGCGTTCATATTTTTTTTTACTTTTTGTGGATCTCACATCAATTTAAATACGATTATGACTATTCTTATCCCAAAATATAATCTAATTTAGAAATTCCATTTCCATTCCAAAAATATTATCTCTGATTCTCTCAAAATTCCATTCTCATTAAAAGTAAACGTAAACTTTAAAAAAAAAATATATATATATAGCAAAACATTTACATTGATATAATCTTTTATGAGGAAATATTTCAGTACAGTAAAACAAGCAAATAAAAAAAACAATAAAAATAGAGAACAGAAAATAAAAATTTACATGCATAAATAAATAATGTAAAAGTCAAGAACCCTGTAGCCCATACCAATGGGAAAGAAAATTGCAAATTTACATTGCCGATTAACTGCAAACAACTCTTTTTTCCCACAAGGATTCTTTTTTTTTTCTTCTTTTGAATTCTCTCTTCCCTGAAATATTTCCTAACCATACATCATTGAAATGTTGTAATAATATGCTAAAATACATATCTTCATTTTCTACTTTTAAGTTGAGCAAAATTTAATATACATATGTCGATTTAAACCATTTGTTGAATCAGTGAAGATTTAAAGGTCACCTCTGGAGTTTGTCAATAATGAATATGGAAACTTTACTTTCTAATCTGGGTGAAGAGCTCAGGTGGTTTTCCAGTTCCTCCTGTTCCACCAGCAGCGCCACCAAAAGCAGAGAAACCGCCGCTCCCTTGCTGGCTGCCGAACGCCCCGAATCCCCCTGCAGCTGGAAAACCTCCACCTGCAGCACCGGCAAAACCACCTGTTGCAGGGGAAGCAGCAGCAAATCCACCACCAGCTGGGGCCACACCACCAAAACCACCCCCGCCACCCGCACCAACACCACTGAAACCACCCCCGTTGCCTGAACCAACAGCACCAAAACCACCCCCACTACTTGAACCAACAGCACCAAAACCACCCCCGCTACCCGAACCAACACCACCGAAACCACCACCGCTAACCGAGCCAACACCACCGAAACCCCCACCGCTACCCGAACCAACACCAGCAAAACCACCAATAGGTTTCACACCAGTAAAGCCACCACTAAAACCGCTAGGGGATCCCGAAGCAGTCCCAGGGAGACTAGGACCAAGCTGTCTTGATCGGCCAAATGCACCAAGAACAGTTCCCAGAGCTTGCTGCCCAACTCCGATCTGGGCAGGCTGACCAAACCCACCTTGAGACGAGGTTTGAGGCTGAGTAGCCATTCCAGAGCCAAAGCCACCCGAGAATGCAACTGAATTTGTGGGCTGTGATGCTGCTTGTGAAGCCAGGGGAGATTGGAAGCTAAATGATGCAGGCCGAAACAATTCTCCACTTGGAGGAGATGCCATAGTAAAGGAAGAGTTCATTGAAGTTGCATTAACATTACCAAATGGACCACCAAAAGGGTTTGATTTAGGAGCACTTGAAATTGGGGTAGAGCTGTTTCCAAATCCTCCCAAGCTGCTCAAACTAAACTCGACGTTATTCGTCTCTGGAGCCTCCTCATCCATATCGTCGTCCTGAGTAAGCGCAGCATCGGAAGTTTCATTTTTACCATTAGTAGAACTCTTAGAAGTTAAGTTTAGTGTAGGTAATGGAACAAAAGCAGCAGATGACTGTTGCAGTACATTCGGAACAAGACCTCCCACGTCTTTTGGAACTGTCTGACTTCCAGAAGTTGGCTCTACATGATTTTTATCAGCAGGTGTAACAGAAGGTTGAAGCTTCAGTTCATGGGACTCCGGAGGCTTTGAATCTGGTGCTGGCTTTGGAGTATCTGCATCTGACTTTGGACCGGGCAGTTCTTTTTTCGACTCCAATGTAGTAGGTGACGGTGACACCATCTTAGGTGCCTGAAATAGGGAATCAGATACAGAAACAGCTGGAGAGGAGAAGTTTGATTGTGTGAATGTTGACAGTGGTTTATTGAGATCTACATGGGCGGTAGAATTTGTAAGAGATTTGGTGACTGAAAATCCTGAAAACAAAGTCGATGCACTTGAAGGAGTATTCAACAGTGCTGGTGCTGGAACTGATGGCGAAAATGCTGTCAGTGAAGTTTTCTCTTCAGTCTTTCTCGCTCCAAGAACAGTCGGAACCGGAGTTGACGCTGTACCAACAAATGCAGATTCAGGCTTATTTGCAGATTCAAAAAGTGAACTTTTAGGTGTATGCCTCTCCTTTACATTGGCAGTCTTCTGACCGTTCAAATTTGAGGTGTTGATGGAATCTTTCAGTGTAGGCATCTGATTATTCGATATCTTAAAGATGGATGATTTCTGATCGAGGTTTATATTAGATTTCTGGACAGAGTCGCTCCTAGTGAGTGAGAGGAAATCAGAAGATTTGGACTTCTCAGGGTAAGTCGCCTCTGTGAATTTGTTGTCTGAAGTCACACTGTAAGCTTCAGTATTACTTTTTTTCGGCATTTCATGAGACGATTGGTATACTACTGGCAATGGAGATGGCGCTGTAGCATTAGTTTTTTTCAGTGGTTGGGATTTCTGCCTGGAGATATTTGATGATTGTGAGGGGCTAGACCACATGAAAGGAGTGGCTGGGTTCTCAGAGCTGTGTTCTGGATATGTAATATAAATATAAGCTGAAACATTCAAAACTTAGAAAAGAAGAAAGGAAAAAATTGGTCAAATTACAAGTTCCATCGGAACTTTGAGAGTTATGTCTAATAGATTCTTGAACTTTAAAAAGTGTGTAATAAGTTCTAAATCTTCAATTTTGTGTCTAATAAGTTCGTGAATTTTAAGAAATGTAAAATAGATTAGGGACTTATAACAAACAAAATTGAAAGTTTAAAGACCGATTGACATTTTTATAGCCCAAGGACCTATTAGACAAACGCTGAAAGTTTAGGACTAAACTTGTAGTTTAACCAAAAAGATTTTATAACAAAGGATTTGTGAGAGCTGGCAGTAAACAAATATGACTATAAAACCATCACTGAATGCTTCATCTAAGGGGTTACCTGCATTTTTTGATGATGATGATAACATAGAAGACGCTATGCGACTAGCTGGACGTGTAACTGTCGCTGTGCCTTCAGGTGTCGGAGAGCGAAAATGTTTCTCATCGGCCAAGGGTATTCCTTCCAAAAGCATCCTCTTAACAGTCGTTTTTGGAGGTTCAACACTAGCCAGATTCTGCATAGATTTTATAGGGAAAAAATTTAAGGACATAAAAGCATATCAAGTCCGCGAGTAAGTATTAATGCATCTTAGACTATGAGAGATTTCCCCATTTGGGATAAGAAACAATACATTTTCCCCTACTTGGATTGTTGGATCACCTTCTTCCATGTATGGCACTTAATCCAAGTTGATTTTACTCTAATGCAATATGAATATTATTTTCTTCTATTTTTTTTATAACCCAGAGTCGGAACTTTGCTTCCCTATAACAGAGCACCCACACCCACCCCAAGGCCTGAACCCAAGAGACATCAAAATAATTTTCTTATTAAGCTCGCATAAAGGTTTGAACGTGCGACCTCTGGGTAGATGTTACTTAGAGACCGCATGTCCTTGCCAACGAGGATGCCCATCTTATTTTCAATTGATGGTCAGTTTCATATGGAATGGAACACAGGTCTAAAAGAATATAGTAGTTCAAGGAAACAATACCCTGTCAAGTGACTCTCTTCTCCTTCTCCCGGTTTCTGCTTCAGAATTTTTCATCCCACTCCGCAGTTTTCTCCTTGAAGAATCTTTACTTGAAAAAGAATCAGCAGAAAGTAAAAGCTTCTTACTAGAAGTTTCTGCAATTTTGTTCACATTTGGAGAACTGAAAGAAGCATCGTAAGTAATTCCAATGGTCTCAAACAATTCCTTCGTGACACTCTGCCTTTTTGAAGAAGGTGATTCTATATTGAGTGCAGCCATTTGTTTTGATAGACTTTCAGAAAGAAGCTGAGCTGCTGCTAATTGAGATCCCGTTATGTTATTCAAACTATGGAAGGAATGACTATGCCTGCAAAAATTTTGAGGAAAAAACTTGTGTCAGGCTACTAGAACATTGATATCCAAACAAAACCATCTAAAAAGAAAATGGTAATAAAGATAATAATTTAATTCATATCAATCATCAAGAAGACAGAATTTTTCTCAGTGAGACGTTCTAAATCTAAGAGACATAATAAAATTGGAAGTACCTCGATGATCCAAATTTCCTTTGAAGAGCTCTTTCACTCACTTGACTTTCATCATTTCCACCAAACTTATTAAGCTCAAGGCCATTAAAATGTCTTTCTAATTCAATTAACTGGTTGGTCATATTCTGGAAAAGAGAAGAAACGTGTGGATAAATCACGTCCGGAATTGGGGAAATTAAATTGGCTTCTGAAACGACCAAGAAGCTACCTGATTCGTCTTTAAGATATGTTGTCGCTTTAGCTCCAATTCAGAACTTAACCTTTGGCGATCCCAGTGTTCCCAATAGTGGCTGTGAGAAGCTTGCTTAACAATGCCTTCAATGTATGTTTTCTTAGGCATAACTGAAACCACGTAAACTAAAAATGTTAAATACATATGAGATTATGTTATGATCTTCAATTTGATTTTTAACCAGGTAAACTTGTTTAGTAGACTGACATAGTTGCAATTTATCTCCAATTCCCATTATTCCTGATTTCCAGCCTTACTATTTGCAAACATCAATCAAATTCTCGTGTTAATTAATAAAATTTAGTAAATTTCCAATAGTCCAAGAGGTACGAGTTCGAATCCCCTCCCCCCACTTGTTGTACTCAAAAAGTAAAATAAATTTTGGAAAATTATAATGGGTAGCAAAACTGGTTATAGTATTTACAAATTCATTAAATGGAAAAATAATTTGCAAATATGGAACCTTTTCCCTCATATATCACTGATATACCATTTATATAATAGAGTAGAGTATATCACTGATGTACTAATATAAAATATACCACTAATATAACATTTTTGTATCATTGACAAATCATATCACCAACATACCTAATATAAAATACATTCCTGATATACGGGTTGATATACGGGTTCTTACATTTATGTCATTTTTACCAATTATTTTATCACGTGAGAAATTAGCTGTCTAGGCCAAAACTCCCATTACACAAGACTTTTAACAGAGGAATTTTAGCTTTAAATGTTTGGAAGGGATATACATGGGATTTTCGTGTTCTACTTCGTTGCGACACTCAAATATTAAATGCATTCTAAATAATCACCTTTTTGATATTACTTAGATCAGGCATGAAGCCTTCTATGCCAACAAGGTCATCATCAATAATCTAGTAAATAAACATACAATAAAATGAGGTTCCAATACCTTGATTAACTGTTTTGTCAAAGAGATTCTGTATCTCTTGTGCACGTTCATTCATTGTGCGCTGCAAAGAGGTAGAAAAATGAAATTCACATGTTAAGCTAACTATATTGATAGCAAGAAAAAAATATGTAAAGAACAAGAGAAAAAGGAACAAAAAAACCAAAATTACAACATATAATTCAAATCGCAAAAAATTATCAGAACTTGATCTAAGAAACCATAAAACAGAGAGAGAGAGAGAGAGAGTGAGGAAAGGGAGGACATTCAACCACGTAAACCTTCACTTCATTTTTATCCTATAAAGTTCTATTATTTTTATCCATCCAATTCACCAAATAATATCATCAGAGTAACATACAATATCTATCTTTTATTCCTGAATACATACCAAATCTCTTATGGCAAGAATTGATCAATACAACAAGGATTACCAACAGAATATAATCCAAAAGAAAAAATGTAACATTAGATGAACTACAGACTCCTCAATTAATGCCACATAAACAGAAAATATGAGGAAACAAACAGTAAGAAAATTTGTGCAACTTTTTCTTGAACAAGATACGAACTTCTCATTGAAATAATGAAAACGAACAATAATATTCAAGGATACAAACTCTCTCTTGAGAGTGAAAGGAAGAAAACATAAAGCAAAAGACAAAAAACAAAAACCTTAACAAGATAAAGTTGTAATTAAAAAATAATAATAATAAATAAATAAAAACTTAACAAGATACAGTGAAAGATTTCCAATTAAAACAACTTATCAAAGTAATATCTCTTCCATGAGTCACTCCAAGAAAAAACTTCAAAACCTGGACTATACTTTTGATATTTTATTAGCTCAAGCAATTTGTTAATCAATTAATTATTACGTTTCTCAGTTGATCTTCAAGTATTTTTCTTTCGTGTGATGCTTCCATCTAGCTATTGTCATTTCTATATTTTTTTTCCTCTGCTAATTTCTTTTACACGCCATTGATATCAGGATGAGAAGCCCTGGAGCCACTTCCTGCTTCATACATTTTCTTTTTCACATTTTTTCTCCTTTCTTGACTCTAACAGTTTTAGTAATAAATAGTGAGGTATGCCATACAAATTGATAACCATATTCACGGTCTAACAAAATACATAAGCAAATAATCAACAAACCATAAAATATAAAATAACTTAAAATTACCCCCCATATTTGACATTGATCTGAAAGAGTTGCTAAGCCAAGCTCCAAAGCTTCAATGGAGCTTTTCTGGGAAGCGGTGCAGGCATCCCAAAACCCACCCGGTTCTTCTATAGATTCCAGAAGCATGTCCAACCCATCGCACATTTCTTTCATCTGTAGGAAAAAGGGAACGTTGAATTGAAGAAGCTAGAAAAATCCAAAGAAACGATATTAAAGCCGGCAGGGAGCGGCTGGGGGTAGGACACCCTTTAGTTTCTGAAGTAGCGGCAAAGAGGAAACTCAACTATTGAAAAAAAAATGCCATAACCAATAATGACACAGAAATAAAAGAAACAGGGAAATCTCAATGACCGACTAGTTGACTGATAATTTGGTACCATATAAAATCAAATATGAAAGGGCATGTGCTTCATTATTTTGTTAGTCACATACAGGGAACATCCTTCAGCCGAAGGATGAAAATATATAGAGGAAATCTCATCTTCTAAGTCGAGATGTTCCTAAGAGGAAAATATTAGGACAAGAAAGCTAATGCGAGTATTCTACCCACTTTTCTATTAATGCCCTTGGAAATGGAGTGGAGCTGTATGAACAAGCCAAAAAAATGGCGGACTAAATCATAGTTGACATATCAACAATAATAATAATCTTCAAATCTTTAAACCAAGTCATTCCTATATTAGAACGGAGTATGCTCACATTGTCAAATTGATTGAATAAATTTCGTTCAGAACTTACTGGTTTTGCTAGGGGGACATTGCTGTAATTTCGCTCTGAACGACTGTGCTTCTCATTAGAAGTTTTCCCCAACGAGAAGTTATCTTGCAATGGTACTTGCGAGCTACGCATTGGTGGCAAAGATTCAATTTTACCAGCACCTGCTGTTACTTGTCTCCCAATTTGAGTTAGTGTACTTGAAACATCCTTTGTTTGAAAAGATCTTCCAGTAAAAGCTGTGAAAGCATTTGCTGCACCAAAACTCGGTCCAAGATTGTCAGTTTTGGTGCTTTGAAGAGAATTCAACGGTAAGACAGAAGATGCAGGATCAATTTTGTTTAAAAACATTGCTCTATCACTGGATAACTCGGAAGCATCCTGCAAGCCAGTTGACCCCAATCTTAACGTTGATTCTTTAGCATTGAGAAAGGGTTGGCTAGGCACATCAGCAGATTGCCCAGAAAAAGCAACAGATCCGAGGCCAGTAAATTTTTGAACAGGCTTACCAAAATTCCCGATCTCACTGTTGGGCTTCTCCAAGATAGAAGACTTCAATGGTTGTGAATAAATGAAAGAACCTACTTTCTCGCTTTTACTATTACTCTCTCTGCTGACGATTGCACTCTTATCGATGTAAGATACTGGACTCTGATCAATATCAGAAGGCTTAATGTCATTTGAAATATTAATCTTTTCCTCAGGAATCTCACTACTGGTTGTTATTTTATCTGTATCATGCATTTGACCCACCATCGCTTCTCTCAACTCTTTCCTTGACTCAGAAGAGACCTGGGGCTGGTCATCAATAGGCACTATTGTATCATCTTCCTCTTCATCTTCACAAGCAGAAACAGTCTCATGTGGAGTTTCAGTTTCATTGATGCTGCATAAAGTTTAAAAAACATGGTAAAAGAAGATTAGGAGCGCTATTAACAGCTAAAGATCAAAATGTCTATTCAAGGGGGGAAATAGATTTTGGTCTTTAGTACAATAACAGGAAAGGTTTTAAAAACAGAAAAGGCAGTACCTAGATAAATGAAACATAACGAGCTTTCCCTCTAGAGTAAGACACAAGAGAATGCAATATGGTGATACTTCTCTCATGTCTTCAACTCCAACCTGAATTTTCACCTTCGCAGGGAGAGAAACTCGATCGATGCATAGCCCCATCACCAAATTATCATCACCATTCTCTGGAACAAGAATGAGATAGAATTATATCACAGAACAAGAGATTCTGCGACGGTACAAAAATCAAAACCTAACCTATGTGCATGCATAAATGTGTATATAAAAATTAACTATAAAGGCAACCAGAAATTTTAAATAATGGCCAAAACATGCATAAAGCCTTAAACCCAACGCTAACTTCCTAAAAAGAAATGATTTTTTTACTGTGTATGCATGAGAAAACCAGAGAAAATCAAATAAATAGAGAAACATTAAAAGAAGATAGAAAGAAACCAACTGCTAAAAAATATTTTAAAAAATAATTGGCTAATGTCTCAAAATAAATCGATCTACCATATTGGAAACGTGGAAAACCAAGTAACTCTAAGGAAGCCATAAGAGTAGAGATTGAAAGACCACAAGGCAGGAAAATTTAACACACTATCAGAGTTTTTTTTTAAATCATGGTATCGGGGTCTCACCCCTTGCATTAGGCTCACGGCCAACTCCAAAAGACAACAAAAATTTTAAATTATTAAGTTTTCCACCGACCGGGTTGAAAGGTTTAACATAACCCCACTAAATTCTAAGGTTTTACACCACTAAAGTTCTTACAATTTTTTTTTTTTTGATATCCGTGAGTGTCCAGACCAGCTTACGCACACCTCGACTAATCTCACGGCGCAACCGCTTGACTCTGCAATATTTGGTGCCGGAAAACACATAGGAATTACTAATTCCTAAGGTAAGTGACCATCATGAGATTTGAACTCATTCCCTCTTAATTAACCCTACCCCCTTTGGACCAATGGGCCACCCATGATGGTTCAAAGTTCTTACAATATCATGTCTGTAATTCGGTCTTAAAAGTTTTTTATGAATCAAGCTCCAACTTATTTCACACTAGAAACCCCAAACAAAACAACCTGTTAATGGGAACATATTTAGATCAAATAATTTTTTTTTTATGAGAAACACATATTTCATTGATAAATATAAAAAAGGGAGGGGACCCAATGATGATGGGTTACAAAAAGGCCCTCTAATTCATCAAGAGATCATTTAAAGTGTAACTAGAAAAAGAAACAAAGTGACATTTACACCAGCTGAGGGCCGTAACCTGGACACAAATGAAGAAGGTACAGTAGGATTAGATCAAATAATTATGACTTGTTCAAATGAACAAAAAAAATTTTAGAAATGGCCAAAAAGTTGCAACTAAAATTATAATGCAATACAAAGAACATATATTTCTTAGTTGATTTTTCAAGCAATTAGCCTGGAGATCAATATACACAAATACACGTTCAGAGCAACATTTTTAGTATACATTTATATAGGAAAATGAAAATCCCAGTCCATCTAATGAATCAACGCTGTAAAATAGGACACATTCTTGTGGAGGGGGAAGGCAACAAGATAAGCTAATGACTGTGGTAGTCAGGTTACAAGATCACTAACCTTGAAGCTCAATCCTTGGGAGTGATGTATCTCTTTCAATATCAATAACTGCAACTTGGTTCTCAACCTCTGGCAACCAACCAAGCAACACAATATGCTGATCTGTATTGTTCCTATTGGCAACAATTGCGAGCTTGCTGCATTCAAATTAAAAAAGAAAAAACAAATAAAGTTGGCATGTCAGATCAGAATAAAAGAATGATCCCAAGGTAACAGAAAGAAGAAAGGAAAATTCAAAGTGAGAACCAAAAGTTTTGGAAATGAATTAAGTAATAATGAATTCCAGGACAAATTCAATTTCAAACATTCAGAGGTTAAGTCGGATCAAGTTATTTCTGCATACCATTTTCCCAAATAGCTCGAGAATAAACAAGGCCCACTTCCAACAGGCAAAATATCCCGAGTGAAACCTGGATGTATATATTGGAACGATAACAAAACTCTATTTGATGAAACCTACAAAATAGGAACCAAAATAAATATGAATAAAAAAATAAAAAAATCATGTGAACAAGACTACCAATACCATCGGTTTAAGGGACTGTTCCATTTTTCTTGTTCAGCAAATTGTGTTCATATTTAGTATGCGGTAGTGTAAACAATATAGAAACCATGATAGTTATTGACTGTCACTGTCAATTTTAGATAAAATAACTTCATTCTCATCCAGAAGATCAGAAGAATAAACAACATATTTACAACCTAAAAAGGGTAGGTTCAATCCAAGATGATTGACCTTGAATCTAGGAACAAATTACAGGAAAAATATGCAGGCTTTCTCAAACAATATACAAACGCTTAAGGAAAAAATATTAAGAATAATAACATAATACATGATTCACAGATAAATATAAGATTTTGTCAAGACAAAAAAAATGAAGCATTTATGATCTTCACCACTTCTTAAATGAGATAATTAGCGCACACCACTTTTTGAGATAATTAGAGCACGCCACTTTTATTTGCACACTTCGCCTCAAACAAAGGACCAGAAAAACTCATTCATTCATCCATATTCTATAACATCAACAATTTGTCGAGTCAATCCTTCTCTATATTGTCGATCTAGTAGAGTCAACAATGAATAACAGTGTGAGATAATCAGGCTCATTATTTTCTTCCACACCTAAGGATTTATTTTCCATAAAAATGTCTGTATCCCAAAGAGATAAACTAAACCTATTGATAATACAACTGTCTCGCAAATATTTTCCATAATAGCATTTGTAAACATCAATAAAATCAGCATGCGAGAATCATTTTTTAGTCAAGAAACCAAGCAGTCAGTGAGAACGATGAAAGAATACAAAAGAACTTACAAATCGACGATCCAAGAAAAAAAAATCAGCCAAATAACAATAGACCTAACAAAATAAAAAGAGCTCTACTCCAGGATAATTACAGAAGCTTCGAGTTGCAAACACCTAAATAGAGGCAATAATCTTGACAAAGGTCTCACACCGCTTTCCTTTTTATAGGGAAAAATGTATTTCAATACCTCCTTTTTTTTTCAAGACCTCTTTCTAACACCTCTCGAACTCTCCAAAAATTCTTTTATTCCTCTCAAATCAAATGCTCCATAAAATAATGGAAATAATTAGCATACCAAAGAACACAACCTCTGTTACGAAAATTAAAAATGGAAAGAGGGAAAAGATAAGAAAAGAACAACTACTCACATCAGTGATTTTTCCATCTTTACTTCTGATAACTTGGACAAAGTAATTTTCTTCATCACCAATAGCAGTCACTTCAAAGCATCCTAGAATGATGCAATCAGCACGAACCCATTTGATACAGTCAACTGAGGAATCAGGAAAAATTAAGTTAAAAGATAGAAACAATAAGTATTTTCTAGATTGATAAATGTGAGATTGTAATTAAGAGGCAAATTTAGTAGTTGTTGTATATCACGTAGCAAATAATTTCCAGTTTTATTTTATTTTTCAGATTTAATATTTTTCCTTTCCTTAAATTTTCTGGATAATAAAAAATTAATTTGTATTCAAGTCAGATAAGAATCCCTCATTCTTATAGAATCCTCATTTAGTTACATTTTTATTTCAGAAAAGCAACAACGTATTAACGAAAAAAGATTACAAAAGGCGGAAAGGGGATGAAGAAGCAATATCTTAAAAAGTTCCATGATTTCTTTAAGTCAAATAACCCATATAAAAATGACAGTTATTCAATGTAGAATTTT